GAATATACTTTTAAAATTTTTTGTAAAATGATGGCTGTGACTTCAGCGCTTTCCTATTTGTCTAGGCTGGGAATGTTTTAGACTCATTTATCAAAAGTCCTCTGTTCAGTAAGATCGTGCTCCCCACCTACATTTTAGTAGTTATCCTTAAGCACTTGCCGAAACAAAGAAAAACAACGCAAAACTAACTACAATTTGAACGCTTAAATGTGGAATGTTTTCAGTGCTAAAGGAATATTTCATTGCTATTAGCAAATTGATCAAGGTTGAGATATCCATTCAGGAAAGCGTTGTAAAATAAACAACTTCCTCGCATACGGTTCTTATACTATTTATATTTTTAAGCAACAATTTTGGGAGATAAATTCGCCTTCAAAAGCTCCTGCACCAACAACCATTTTCTTATAACGACGGGACACAAAGCACAAAAATCACCTACGCTCAAAAAAAATACTGAATAAAACACTGGAATATTAAATCGATTTGCATGTGCGGTCCCATTTTTCCATTTCTTAGGGATGTGCTCCGTATCACCGATCGATCGATATCGAAATCGATGATTCGCCTCTCAACCAAAATAATCGATAGCATGGAGTTAGATTTTAGGTAGCAAACTTCGCAGTCTCTGCCGACTCTTCAACATGTCCGGATGCTCAGAGGAGCAGAAATATTTATATATTTCTCTATATTTAATATTTAATAGTCATTAGCAAGTTATTTTTTCATCCATTTTTCTTCAATCCTCGGGACACGAAAAATTGGTCTCGGTTTCTGCTAATAAAGTACCAACATTAAAAGCGGCTATCGCTTGCTTTGAAAAATGTTAACAAAGATATTTAATTTTACTTACGGCTGACAGTGATTAAGGCCTCGAAAGACTTTTAGCATATCGATTCTCCGAGAGCGTTGGGTTGCATCCATTAATAAGCTAGCAAGAGCATTTATTCACCATATATTAAAATCTTTTAATAATATATATAATATAATACAATATAATAATAATAATGACTTAAACTTAAAACTATAAGCTAATTGGTGAAGAGTGCAAGCTCTTTGGTTTGACAAAGATGTTTAATTTTACTTACGGCTGACAGTGATTGAGGCCTACGACCCGTACCGCCGATCCTCAGGCATGACCCTTTTATACGGAGGACGTTCGGGGTCTCCTCCGCAAGTAAACTCGCAGCAACTGGGATTCTCCTCGTTGCTCACTAGCTCACTACGACTCCGTACCGCCCTCAGGCATGACCCTTTTATACGGAGGACGTTCGGGTCTCCTCCGCAAGTAAACTCGCAGCAACTGGGATTCTCCTCGTTGCTCACTAGCTCACTACGACTCCGTACCGCCGATCCTCAGGCATAACCCTTTTATACGGAGGACGTTCGGGGTCTCCTCCGCAAGTAAACTCGCAGCAACTGGGATTCTCCTCGTTGCTCACTAGCTCACTACGACTCCGTACCGCCGATCCTCAGGCATGACCCTTTTATACGGAGGACTTCGGGTCTCCTCCGCAGCAGTCTACACTACACCATTCGAGGGGCAGGCTTGCAGTGTGCAGCTACTCGAAAGACTTTTAGCATATCCGATTCTCCGAGAGCGTTGGTTGCATCCATTAATAAGCTAGCAAGAGCATTTATTCACCATATATTAAAATCTTTTAATAATATATAATATACAATATAATAATAAATGACTTAAAGCTTAAAACTATAAGCTAATTGGTGAAGAGTGCAAGCTCTTTGGTTTGACAAAGATGTTTAATTTTACTTACGGCTGACAGTGATTGAGGCCTACGACCCCGTACCGCCGATCCTCAGGCATGACCCTTTTATACGGAGGACGTCGGGGTCTCCTCGCAGCAGTCTACACTACAACCCTTCGAGGGGCAGGCTTTGCAGTGTGCAGCTACTGGCAGTTGGCCCATCGCCCACAGAAGAGTTTGACCACGAACTTAGATCTGATTCCGAGCTGCAATCCGCAGAAAAAAATAAGCAAGGTCTGTATCTATGGATACAAAGAATAAAACAACCCTTTAAAGTCAAATTACAGATAAAATATTAATACTTTATCTTCTTTTTCGGCACCTCCTACAATAAATAAATATAGGTTTTACTGAAATGTTATTAGACTAGCTTTAATCAAAATCCCATTTGGCTTACCATTCCCAACCTGTTCACTAACTCCTAAGAATGTCCATATACAAGTCTTTGTTCTTTGGCCAAGTAAAAATGTTCCAAATTATCTTGAGCAACGCATCTAGAACATTTGTTAAACCTTTCCCGTCCGTTGCGTCTATTCTGACTTTAGTTTTCCCCCAAACCATTTCGGTATTTATCATCATTTTTATTCTTGTTGACCGATATACGAGAGTTGACAAAGTTGGGGAGGGAATCGATCTTTTTAAAAGAAGTTATGCCTGGTTACATGTCGCATGAGTAGTATTTTTATAGAAACTTTAAAGACATTTCGCAAGATCTAAAACTCAACCAAAAAAATGTTAATTTTGGATACATTTTTTGCGAACCGCCCCGCCTAGTGTAAGCAGCCAAAAATTTTCCACGACTCATTTCTTGTTTTCCATGATAATTGGATCCTCCTGGACAAAGTCCATACAAACTTGTGTTCATCACCAACAGGACTCACAGTATAACAAGGATACGAAAAACCGATGTCTGCGACATTTTGAATTATGTGGCTTATATAATTGGACTTTTAAGATGTGTCCAATTATGTGGGTTTTTTGGTTACTGTATACAACTATTAGCAAGCTAGTACTCAGACTGACAAACAGTGCCTTTTGGATGCCTAACCAAATAAAAAATATTCGTTATAAATTAGAAAAATTATAAACTATTCAAATTATTCAAATATAAGGAATATACTTTAAAATTTTTTGTAAAATGATGGCTGTGACTTCAGCGCTTTCCTATTTGTCTAGGCTGGGAATGTTTTAGACTCATTTATCAAAATCCTCTGTTCAGTAAGATCGTGCTCCCACCTACATTTTAGTAGTTATCCTTAAGCACTTGCCGAAACAAAGCAAAACAACGCAAAACTAACTACAATTTGAACGCTTAAATGTGAATGTTAGTGCTAAAGGAATATTTCATTGCTATTAGCAAATTGATCAAGGTTGAGATATCCATTCAGGAAAGCGTTGTAAAATAAATAAATACGATTGTGGAACAGCAGTGACACGAGAATTTTCACAAGTTAAAACGTTTGGACCCTTTTAAGTATTTATAACAACTTCCTCGCATACGGTTCTTATACTATTTATATTTTTAAGCAACAATTTGGGAGATAAATTCGCCTTCAAAAGCTCCTGCACCAACAACATTTCTTATAACGACGGACACAAAGCACAAAAATCACCTACGCTCAAAAAAATACTGAATAAAAACTGGAATACTAAATCGATTTGCATGTGCGGTCCCATTTTTCCATTTCTTAGGGATGTGCTCCGATACATCGATTCATCCGTATCGAAATCGACATTCGCCCTCAACCAAAATAATCGATAGCATTGGAGTTAGATTTTAGGTAGCAAACTTCGCAGTCTCTGCCGACTCTTCAACATGTCCGGATGCTCAGAGGAGCAGAAATTTTTATATTCTTATATTTAATATTTAATAGTCATTAGCAAGTTATTTTTTCATCCATTTTTCTTCAATCCTCGGACACGAATAATTGGTTCGGTTTTCTGCTAATAAAGTACCAACATTAAAAGCGGATATCGCTTGCTTTGAAAAATGTTAACAAAGATATTTAATTTTACTTACGGCTGACAGTGATTAAGGCCTCGAAAGACTTTTAGCATATCCGATTCTCCGAGAGCGTCACCATATATTAAAATCTTTTAATAATATATAATATAATACAATATAATAATAATAATGACTTAAAGCTTAAAACTATAAGCTAATTGGTGAAGAGTGCAAGCTCTTTGGTTTGACAAAGATGTTTAATTTTACTTACGGCTGACAGTGATTGAGGCCTTCGACCCGTACCGCCGATCCTCAGGCATGACCTTTTATACGGAGGACGTTCGGGGTCTCCTCCGCAAGTAAACTCGCAGCAACTGGGATTCTCCTCGTTGCTCACTAGCTCACTACGACTCCGTACCGCCGATCTCAGGCATGACCCTTTTATACGGAGGACGTTCGGGGTCTCCTCCGCAAGTAAACTCGCAGCAACTGGGATTCTCCTCGTTGCTCACTAGCTCACTACGACTCCGTACGCCGATCCTCAGGCATGACCCTTTTATACGGAGGTTCGGGGTCTCCGCAGCAGTCTACACTACACCATTCGAGGGGCAGGCTTGCAGTGTGCAGCTACTCGAAAGACTTTTAGCATATCCGATTCTCCGAGAGCGTTGGGTTGCATCCATTAATAAGCTAGCAAGAGCATTTATTCACCATATATTAAAATCTTTTAATAATATATATATAATACAATATATAATAATAATGACTTAAAGCTTAAAACTATAAGCTAATTGGTGAAGAGTGCAAGCTCTTTGGTTTGACAAAGATGTTTAATTTTACTTACGGCTGACAGTGATTGAGGCCTACGACCCCGTACCGCCGATCCTCAGGCATGACCCTTTTATATGGAGGACGTTCGGGGTCTCCTCCGCAAGTAAACTCGCAGCAACTGGGATTCTCCTCGTTGCTCACTAGCTCACTACGACTCCGTACCGCCGATCCTCAGGCATGACCCTTTTATACGGAGGACGTTCGGGGTCTCCTCCGCAAGTAAACTCGCAGCAACTGGGATTCTCCTCGTTGCTCACTAGCTCACTACGACTCCGTACCGCCGATCCTCAGGCATGACCCTTTTATACGGAGGACGTTCGGGGTCTCCTCCGCAAGTAAACTCGCAGCAACTGGGATTCTCCTCGTTGCTCACTAGCTCACTACGACTCCGTACCGCCGATCCTCAGGCATGACCCTTTTATACGGAGGACGTTCGGGGTCTCCTCCGCAGCAGTCTACACTACACCCATTCGAGGGGCAGGCTTGCAGTGTGCAGCTACTGGCAGTTGGCCCATCGCCAACAGAAGAGTTTGACCACGAACTTAGATCTGATTCCGAGCTGCAATCCGCAGAATCCATGACTTTGATAAAGTTTAAAAATAAATTTTGGTAGCGAAAAAATGGTGTTGTAGTGAGTACTAGAATATATATAGAATAAAAATGGAACTGTGTAAAATGAACTGAACCTTACTAAACAGAGGATTTTCGATGAATGAGTGTTAAACGTTCATAGCCCAGGCAAATAGGCAAACGCTGAAGTCACAGCCTACTTTTAACATTAACATTTGAAAATCGAACTAAGACATGAGATCAAAATTCATTCGTTCTTGCCAGTGGCGGATCCAGAATTTAGTTGTGGGGTGGATAGAAAAAAAATTGTATCAGTAAAAAACAAACAGTTGGAATAAAATACATAATACACATACTTTTCAACCCTTTTGGGATCAAAAAATAAGCAAGGTCTGTATCTATGGATACAAAGAATAAAACTAACCCTTTAAAGTCAAATTACCAGATAAAATATTAATACTTTATCTTCTTTTTCGGTACCTCCTACAATAAATAAATATAGGTTTTACTGAAATGTTATTAGACTAGCTTTAATCAAAATCCCATTTGGCTTACCATTCCCAACCTGTTCCACTAACTCCTAAGAATGTCATACAAGTCTTTGTTCTTTGGCCAAGTAAAAATGTTCCAAATTATCTTGAGCAACGCATCTAGAACATTTGTTAAACCTTTCCCGTCCGTTGCGTCTATTCTGACTTTAGTTTTCCCTCCAAAACCATTTCGGTATTTATCATCATTTTTTTATTCTTGTTGACCGATATACGAGAGTTGACAAAGTTGGGGAGGGGAAATCGATCTTTTTAAAAGAAGTTATGCCTGGTTACATGTCGCATGAGTAATTTTTATAGAAACTTTAAAGACATTTCGCAAGGTCTAAAACTCAACCAAAAAAATGTTAATTTTTGGATACATTTTTTGCGAACCGCCCCGCCCTAGTGTAAGCAGCCAAAATTTTCCACGACTCATTTCTTGTTTTCCATGATAATTGGATCCTCCTGGACAAAAGTCCCATACAAACTTGTGTTTCATCACCAACAGGACTCACAGTATAACCAAGGATACGAAAAACCGATGTCTGCCGACATTTTGAATTATGTGGCTTATATAATTGGACTTTTAAGATGTGTCCAATTATGTGGGTTTTTTGGTTACTGTATACAACTATTAGCAAAGCTAGTACTCAGACTGACAAACAGTGCCTTTTGGATGCCTAACCAAATAAAAAATATTCGTTATAAATTAGAAAAAATTATAAACTATTCAAATATAAGGAATATACTTTTAAAATTTTTTGTAAAATGATGGCTGTGACTTCAGCGCTTTCCTATTTGTCTAGGCTGGGAATGTTTTAGACTCATTTATCAAAAGTCCTCTGTTCAGTAAGATCGTGCTCCCCACCTACATTTTAGTAGTTATCCTTAAGCACTTGCCGAAACAAAGCAAAACAACGCAAAACTAACTACAATTTGAACGCTTAAATGTGGAATGTTTTCAGTGCTAAAGGAATATTTCATTGCTATTAGCAAATTGATCAAGGTTGAGATATCCATTCAGGAAAGCGTTGTAAAATAAATAAATACGATTGTGGAACAGCAGTGACACCACGAGAATTTTCACAAGTTAAAACGTTTGGACCCTTTTAAGTATTTATAACAACTTCCTCGCATACGGTTCTTATACTATTTATATTTTTAAGCAACAATTTTGGGAGATAAATTCGCCTTCAAAAGCTCCTGCACCAACAACCATTTTCTTATAACGACGGGACACAAAGCACAAAAATCACCTACGCTCAAAAAAAATACTGAATAAAACACTGGAATACTAAATCGATTTGCATGTGCGGTCCCATTTTTCCATTTCTTAGGGATGTGCTCCGATACATCGATTCATCCGTATCGAAATCGACATTCGCCCTCAACCAAAATAATCGATAGCATTGGAGTTAGATTTTAGGTAGCAAACTTCGCAGTCTCTGCCGACTCTTCAACATGTCCGGATGCTCAGAGGAGCAGAAATATTTATATATATTTCTTATATTTAATATTTAATAGTCATTAGCAAGTTATTTTTTCATCCATTTTTCTTCAATCCTCGGACACGAAAAATTGGTCTCGGTTTTCTGCTAATAAAGTACCAACATTAAAAGCGGCTATCGCTTGCTTTGAAAAATGTTAACAAAGATATTTAATTTTACTTACGGCTGACAGTGATTAAGGCCTCGAAAGACTTTTAGCATATCCGATTCTCCGAGAGCGTTGGGTTGCATCCATTAATAAGCTAGCAAGAGCATTTATTCACCATATATTAAAATCTTTTAATAATATATATAATATAATACAATATAATAATAATAATGACTTAAAGCTTAAAACTATAAGCTAATTGGTGAAGAGTGCAAGCTCTTTGGTTTGACAAAGATGTTTAATTTTACTTACGGCTGACAGTGATTGAGGCCTACGACCCCGTACCGCCGATCTCAGGCATGACCCTTTTATACGGAGGACGTTCGGGGTCTCCTCCGCAAGTAAACTCGCAGCAACTGGGATTCTCCTCCTTGCTCACTAGCTCACTACGACTCCGTACCGCCGATCCTCAGGCATGACCCTTTTATACGGAGGACGTTCGGGGTCTCCTCCGCAAGTAAACTCGCAGCAACTGGGATTCTCCTCGTTGCTCACTAGCACACTACGGATCTCAGCATACGGACGTTCCTCGTAAACTCGCAGCATGATCCTCGTTGCTCACTAGCACACGACTCCGTACCGCCGATCCTCAGGCATGACCCTTTTATACGGAGGACGTTCGGGGTCTCCTCCGCAGCAGTCTACACTACACCCATTCGAGGGGCAGGCTTGCAGTGTGCAGCTACTCGAAAGACTTTTAGCATATCCGATTCTCCGAGAGCGTTGGGTTGCATCCATTAATAAGCTAGCAAGAGCATTTATTCACCATATATTAAAATCTTTTAATAATATATATAATATAATACAATATAATAATAATGACTTAAAGCTTAAAACTATAAGCTAATTGGTGAAGAGTGCAAGCTCTTTGGTTTGACAAAGATGTTTAATTTTACTTACGGCTGACAGTGATTGAGGCCTACGACCCCGTACCGCCGATCCTCAGGCATGACCCTTTTATACGGAGGACGTTCGGGGTCTCCTCCGCAAGTAAACTCGCAGCAACTGGGATTCTCCTCGTTGCTCACTAGCTCACTACGACTCCGTACCGCCGATCCTCAGGCATGACCCTTTTATACGGAGGACGTTCGGGGTCTCCTCCGCAAGTAAACTCGCAGCAACTGGGATTCTCCTCGTTGCTCACTAGCTCACTACGACTCCGTACCGCCGATCCTCAGGCATGACCCTTTTATACGGAGGACGTTCGGGGTCTCCTCCGCAAGTAAACTCGCAGCAACTGGGATTCTCCTCGTTGCTCACTAGCTCACTACGACTCCGTACCGCCGATCCTCAGGCATGACCCTTTTAGGAGGACGTTCGGGGTCTCCTCCGCAGCAGTCTACACTACACCCATTCGAGGGGCAGGCTTGCAGTGTGCAGCTACTGGCAGTTGGCCCATCGCCAACAGAAGAGTTTGACCACGAACTTAGATCTGATTCCGAGCTGCAATCCGCAGAATCCATGACTTTGATAAAGTTTAAAAATAAATTTTGGTAGCGAAAAAATGGTGTTGTAGTGAGTACTAGAATATATATAGAATAAAAATGGAACTGTGTAAAATGAACTGAACCTTACTAAACAGAGGATTTTCGATGAATGAGTGTTAAACGTTCATAGCCCAGGCAAATAGGCAAACGCTGAAGTCACAGCCTACTTTTAACATTAACATTTGAAAATCGAACTAAGACATGAGATCAAAATTCATTCGTTCTTGCCAGTGGCGGATCCAGAATTTAGTTGTGGGGTGGATAGAAAAAAAATTGTATCAGTAAAAAACAAACAGTTGGAATAAAATACATAATACACATACTTTTCAACCCTTTTGGGATCAAAAAATAAGCAAGGTCTGTATCTATGGATACAAAGAATAAAACTAACCCTTTAAAGTCAAATTACCAGATAAAATATTAATACTTTATCTTCTTTTTCGGTACCTCCTACAATAAATAAATATAGGTTTTACTGAAATGTTATTAGACTAGCTTTAATCAAAATCCCATTTGGCTTACCATTCCCAACCTGTTCCACTAACTCCTAAGAATGTCCATATACAAGTCTTTGTTCTTTGGCCAAGTAAAAATGTTCCAAATTATCTTGAGCAACGCATCTAGAACATTTGTTAAACCTTTCCCGTCCGTTGCGTCTATTCTGACTTTAGTTTTCCCTCCAAAACCATTTCGGTATTTATCATCATTTTTTTATTCTTGTTGACCGATATTACGAGAGTTGACAAAGTTGGGGAGGGGAAATCGATCTTTTTAAAAGAAGTTATGCCTGGTTACATGTCGCATGAGTAATTTTTATAGAAACTTTAAAGACATTTCGCAAGGTCTAAAACTCAACCAAAAAAATGTTAATTTTTGGATACATTTTTTGCGAACCGCCCCGCCCTAGTGTAAGCAGCCAAAATTTTCCACGACTCATTTCTTGTTTTCCATGATAATTGGATCCTCCTGGACAAAAGTCCCATACAAACTTGTGTTTCATCACCAACAGGACTCACAGTATAACCAAGGATACGAAAAACCGATGTCTGCCGACATTTTGAATTATGTGGCTTATATAATTGGACTTTTAAGATGTGTCCAATTATGTGGGTTTTTTGGTTACTGTATACAACTATTAGCAAAGCTAGTACTCAGACTGACAAACAGTGCCTTTTGGATGCCTAACCAAATAAAAAATATTCGTTATAAATTAGAAAAAATTATAAACTATTCAAATTATTCAAATATAAGGAATATACTTTTAAAATTTTTTGTAAAATGATGGCTGTGACTTCAGCGCTTTCCTATTTGTCTAGGCTGGGAATGTTTTAGACTCATTTATCAAAAGTCCTCTGTTCAGTAAGATCGTGCTCCCCACCTACATTTTAGTAGTTATCCTTAAGCACTTGCCGAAACAAAGCAAAACAACGCAAAACTAACTACAATTTGAACGCTTAAATGTGGAATGTTTTCAGTGCTAAAGGAATATTTCATTGCTATTAGCAAATTGATCAAGGTTGAGATATCCATTCAGGAAAGCGTTGTAAAATAAATAAATACGATTGTGGAACAGCAGTGACACCACGAGAATTTTCACAAGTTAAAACGTTTGGACCCTTTTAAGTATTTATAACAACTTCCTCGCATACGGTTCTTATACTATTTATATTTTTAAGCAACAATTTTGGGAGATAAATTCGCCTTCAAAAGCTCCTGCACCAACAACCATTTTCTTATAACGACGGGACACAAAGCACAAAAATCACCTACGCTCAAAAAAAATACTGAATAAAACACTGGAATACTAAATCGATTTGCATGTGCGGTCCCATTTTTCCATTTCTTAGGGATGTGCTCCGATACATCGATTCATCCGTATCGAAATCGACATTCGCCCTCAACCAAAATAATCGATAGCATTGGAGTTAGATTTTAGGTAGCAAACTTCGCAGTCTCTGCCGACTCTTCAACATGTCCGGATGCTCAGAGGAGCAGAAATATTTATATATATTTCTTATATTTAATATTTAATAGTCATTAGCAAGTTATTTTTTCATCCATTTTTCTTCAATCCTCGGGACACGAAAATTGGTCTCGGTTTTCTGCTAATAAAGTACCAACATTAAAAGCGGCTATCGCTTGCTTTGAAAAATGTTAACAAAGATATTAATTTTACTTACGGCTGACAGTGATTAAGGCCTCGAAAGACTTTTAGCATATCCGATTCTCCGAGAGCGTCACCATATATTAAAATCTTTTAATAATATATATAATATAATACAATATAATAATAATAATGACTTAAGCTTAAAACTATAAGCTAATTGGTGAAGAGTGCAAGCTCTTTGGTTGACAAAGATGTTTAATTTTACTTACGGCTGACAGTGATTGAGGCCTTCGACCCCGTACCGCCGATCCTCAGGCATGACCCTTTTATACGGAGGACGTTCGGGGTCTCCTCCGCAAGTAAACTCGCAGCAACTGGGATTCTCCTCGTTGCTCACTAGCTCACTACGACTCCGTACCGCCGATCCTCAGGCATGACCCTTTTATACGGAGGACGTTCGGGGTCTCCTCCGCAAGTAAACTCGCAGCAACTGGGATTCTCCTCGTTGCTCACTAGCTCACTACGACTCCGTACCGCCGATCCTCAGCATGACCCTTTTATACGGAGGACGTTCGGGGTCTCCTCCGCAGCAGTCTACACTACACCCATTCGAGGGGCAGGCTTGCAGTGTGCAGCTACTCGAAAGACTTTTAGCATATCCGATTCTCCGAGAGCGTTGGGTTGCATCCATTAATAAGCTAGCAAGAGCATTTATTCACCATATATTAAAATCTTTTAATAATATATATAATATAATACAATATAATAATAATAATGACTTAAAGCTTAAAACTATAAGCTAATTGGTGAAGAGTGCAAGCTCTTTGGTTTGACAAAGATGTTTAATTTTACTTACGGCTGACAGTGATTGAGGCCTACGACCCCGTACCGCCGATCCTCAGGCATGACCCTTTTATATGGAGGACGTTCGGGGTCTCCTCCGCAAGTAAACTCGCAGCAACTGGGATTCTCCTCGTTGCTCACTAGCTCACTACGACTCCGTACCGCCGATCCTCAGGCATGACCCTTTTATACGGAGGACGTTCGGGGTCTCCTCCGCAAGTAAACTCGCAGCAACTGGGATTCTCCTCGTTGCTCACTAGCTCACTACGACTCCGTACCGCCGATCCTCAGGCATGACCCTTTTATACGGAGGACGTTCGGGGTCTCCTCCGCAAGTAAACTCGCAGCAACTGGGATTCTCCTCGTTGCTCACTAGCTCACTACGACTCCGTACCGCCGATCCTCAGGCATGACCCTTTTATACGGAGGACGTTCGGGGTCTCCTCCGCAGCAGTCTACACTACACCCATTCGAGGGCAGGCTTGCAGTGTGCAGCTACTGGCAGTTGGCCCATCGCCAACAGAAGAGTTTGACCACGAACTTAGATCTGATTCCGAGCTGCAATCCGCAGAATCCATGACTTTGATAAAGTTTAAAAATAAATTTTGGTAGCGAAAAAATGGTGTTGTAGTGAGTAATAGAATATATATAGAATAAAAATGGAACTGTGTAAAATGAACTGAACCTTACTAAACAGAGGATTTTCGATGAATGAGTGTTAAACGTTCATAGCCCAGGCAAATAGGCAAACGCTGAAGTCACAGCCTACTTTCAACATTAACATTTGAAAATCGAACTAAGACATGAGATCAAAATTCATTCGTTCTTGCCAGTGGCGGATCCAGAATTTAGTTG